CAAGAACACAAAGTTATTTTCTTAATTTGAAACTGATTTCAGAGTAGTGGCCTGAAATAACATAGTATAAAGAAAATATTTACACAAGCTCCAATTCTAAAAGTAGCTTTGGCATTGACAATCAGTTAGAATTTCACAAAACAATTTGAGAGTAAAGACCAATACTGCTTTATGATGCTTTAGTGAGTTTTTGTAAAAGAAAGAGAAAGATTCAGGTTTGAAATCGAAATCTATTCATTTTGCACAATTTTAAGGAGTCAGACCAAATAATAATCCATATATCATGCATTTTTTAACTTTGACCTTACTTTTCTTTCTGTACAAAGTTTTGTTCTCCAGGAGATCTGTGGTCATCTAGGGGAGCCAATTCCCTGTAGACCACCAGGACTGAAGATAACATCCACACATACCAGGAAATTCTCAGCCTCTCTTTATTTATTCAAGTCTGCAACTCGGATAAGTACAGAGGACAGGGGCTGAAGATGGAATTTCCTCCCATACCAACGACCGCAAAGTTGTGCGGCCATTGGTAAGCTCCCCCACACCACCACACTCACACACTATAACACACACACCCACACACATTGGACACACTTTCCTGAAGGAGACTAATTAACCGAACCAACCCAATAAACAAAGGGACCAGTGTACAGCACAAAGACCCGTAAGTCACAACAATGGAGCAAACAAAGTCTACAAATTCACAGACAAGCATCACAGACCTGTTAGTGTACATGTCTCTGCCAAAACACTGAGGCATCAATTTGAAATAAGCTCCCTGTTAGCCACAAACAAAGTACCCCTCAAATACTAACACCAAACCATCCCATTGTCGTATCTGAGCTAGATGAAGCAAGAATTTTGGCTAGATCTTGGAGTATTGATCAAAGTGTTAAAAACTTCTTGAGGCAAGACATTGTGTGAAAACATCCTTGAACCAGACATGTATGTTTGGACCAGTATAAAACTGAGACATCCATTCGAGAGATTTCCATATATCGACAGCAGTGCTGATTGTTAGTTATTGAGATTTTTCAAAGATACAGATAAATATAGGTGGGAAAAGAAAAGAGGAAAACTGACCATTTGCTAGCCCCTCAGGCTAGCTTTGTTAGGTTTTGACTAGGGCTGAAATAATTCATTTGGATTAATAAAGTAATTGTCATCTAATTTATTAATCGATTCATTGTTAACTGGAATATAGAGACTGTGAAACATGACTTCAGCTAACAGAGCAACCCATTGGGATACTAATTATATCAAAATTGTAAAAAAAAAAAAAAAAAAAAAAACATTTTGAATTCAAGATTAAAAAAAAGATTTCATTTGTCAATATGCTCTATCTATAACTCCTCCAGTGGACTCCTCAAGTCAGGCCCTCCATCGAAAGTATGCTCACCGCTTATTTACAAATAAACATCTGAAAATTGAGGCATGCGTTTTGGATTCGGCCCATTTTAAACTGACACTTGAATAAAATCCACCAACACTGACTTTTTCAGTATTCAAAGAGATATTCAGTAAGTGTTTTGGACAATTCAGTATAAGTATTAAATAAAATCCACCTGGTGTGTAAAAAAAGCTCCAGCTGTCTGAAAGTCTGATAAACAAATGGCATAATAAAAAAGTGATATTCCACAAAACACTTAAAGCTATAACTGAAACCAAAGACAGTTATGCAAAGTATTGACCAACCAAATTTTCAGAATGGTATTTGTTTTGTTTTACTTGTCTTTTTCCAGATCTTCTTGTATTTCCCATTCAAAGTTACATTTTTCTTTGATCTGTTGCATCTCTTTAAATCTCAGTAAAATATGCACTTTATGCACATCTGTCCTGCTTGTTTGTAAACGCAGAAGAAAAAAATTAGATTATATTAAAAGTAAGAATAGAAGCAGCCCCATCTTGTGGTTGTATTATAAAAGTGCATATTTTATCAAGTGGAGAAAAGGCGAACAGTATGTTCACTGTGCTTTGTCATGCTTAAAACCGATACAGAAAAATGTTTGAAAATCTACAAATTCATGGTACTTTACAAGATAAACTGAGCTTATATCTACAGACCTGTATTTAACACATCACCTTTGTACTGTCTTGTGTAGCCTTTCTCTTTTATAGATAACTTTTTCATTGGCTGCAGAGATACTCACTTTTAAATAAACCGTCAAGAACCTCAAAGCCTGTATTCATATGTTCATACCAGAAGCAGTGTTTTAGGATAAAATGTAAAAATTGAACAAAACTTTTTTAAAGAATAGAATAGAAAATCTCTTTGTCCCACAATGGGGAAATTCTGGTGTTTACAGCAGCAAAAAGATGATAGAAAAAATTGTCACACAATTGTGGACCTTAGAAAAGTGAAATGTTAAAAAATAAACAAATGAAATACTGTACTGTAAAGTGTTTTAACAATATTTAAAAAAAAAAATCTGCACCTGCAGAATAAATAACCAATATACAGCTATTGACATTTTCACAAAAGTTGATGTTTGAAAATAGCAGCAACATAAGATATGTGCAAAATGACAGCAGCATGTTATTTAACTGACTAAGATAGAAACTGTGCAATTAATATAACAACTTATTTAGGTTGTTGGGAGCAGTGATGATTATAAAGTCTAAAAGCTGCTGGGGGGAAGGATCTGTGATAACGCTCCCTGGTGCATCTAGGGTGCAGCAGTCTTTTACTGATGGAGCTCTCCAGTTCTGCAACAGCTTCATGCAAAGGTGGGAGACATTATCCAACAGAGATGGTAATTTAGTTAGGACCCTTTTGTTTTCCACCTCCTGCACTGAGTCTAGATGGCATCCAATCACAGAGCTGGCCTTCCTGATCAGCTGATCCAGCTGTCTTGTCTTAGCTACAGATAAGCCACTGCTCCAACAGACAGCTCCATAGAAGATGACTGATGCCACCACAGAGTCATAGGTCTTTATGAGCGCTCCCTGAACTCGCAAAGACCTCAGATGATATCTCAGTCCACTTTGTTCTCCTCATACGATATTGATTGTATTTTTATTTTTGCAATTATGAACCATTTAAAAGAATAAATCACAGAATTTCTCTTTGCTATGGCATTTTATTAGAAAAACATTACATTGCTTCAATTTATCATATTTGTACAATTCTAATATGAGTTTTCATGTTTTTAGAGACATTTGTGAACATTTTTCAAAGGTTGTCCCTCATAGGATTAATTGGAACAATTACAGGAAATGAGTTTCACTAGTTTTTATTGGCTTCACACAGTTTTTAGCTCCACTTGTCAACAATGACCCGGGTAAAATTTTAGTGCTGGCTGGTTAACTTATTAGTCCGCTCAAGCAACCAGAATATTTTTATGGATTTATTTTTTCAGACATGGAATTACAGTTTGCAGTTATATTACAAACCGGCACGTAAGATTTCCGTTTTAACAAAGCAATGCAAAGTAGAAAAAAATCAAACAATGAAAATTTTAAAAAAAGTTGTGTATAATTTTTAAAATTCTAAATAGAAGACAAAACGCTACAGTAAAATACAAATAATTAAGCATTTTTAGCAGGCAGAGTTACATTTAACTTAATCATTCTAAAACAAATTGTCACATTACTTCATTTAACTGTGAGAAAAGGACTGATTACAAATGAGTAATTGTGGGTCATGATGGTTCTAATTACAGTGAATATGGTGTCTGATGAGCTAGGTAAAATCAGAGACTGATGGACACCGGTAGGCAGCCAATCAAAGCAGACCAAGCAAAGAGCATGGCAAACACATCAGCAACCATCAACTGCAATGTCATACGTTACATATAAAGTTCACAACTTACAGCTTTCAAACTTAGTAGACGATCAGTGTAGAAACAATATTTCACAATGCTTTTTGGCCAACCTTAAAGCATCTTAAAATAAAGGATAAAAAGCATAATATTTGCTCTTTTTGTCTTCAGAACCACTGCAGTTCTTCCTAAAAGAAGAATAGAGTAGAAGCAGAATCTCAGAGATATATTTCTTGTTTCACAACTACAGTATCCCACAGGATGGATAGTTGCTGATTGTGGAGGGCAGTGCAGTAAATCAAATTTCTATGTTCAAATAAGCAGATGTTTAATGTTTTATGAAAATGGGCTGAAAATAACCAAAAGATGAGGAATACTCCGTATTGATAAAGGATTAGATGTGGTCTGTAACCATCCAGGCTGTCATATAATGATGAAATCAAAAACAACATCAGCATGAAATGAACAGACATGCACTTTGTTTACTGACCCTACAGAAACATCAGACAAAGCAAAATATATCTGTTTTGGTCTAATTTTAGTGAGACTTTCTGAACTGTAAATGTTTATATATTCCTGGATGACAGGAAAAAGACCATCTATTAACTGATCTGCACATGTGGGTTGTTTGAGCTTGCTGGAGCTGTCCTATAGAGATCAGATCAGTTTGATTAATTCCTCTCTGACATATAAACTCAAAACTACTGCTTTTCATTTGATATTTTCTTTTTTCTGGCCCTTAATTTGACATATTGTTTTATGCGAAAATGCTCTTGTTTCTGAAATATTCAGTTCAGCTTGTGAGTTGCCAACTGACATATTTTAAGTAAGAACATGCATTTCTTGCCTAAAATAAATGTAATAGGTTCCCTAAAGCAGAAAGTTAATGTATTCAAAATCTAGTCAGGGGTCTTTCTGCATGGAGCCTACATGTAAACAAGTGCATGCATGGTTGTTAGTCCTATGTGCTCCTAGTGTTTCCCCTTTTAAAGACTTGTTAGCTGTCAAGGGTGCATTCTCTCCTGGTTTTAAATAAATAGAAAATTACCACCAAATGAAAAGGAAAGCTATGCAAAGGATCATTTCATACTTGCAAAACTTGCTTCTAAAATGTTTTAACAGCTTTTAAAATCCCATGGGTAACAAAAATTAACTTAAAATAATAATTTAAAAAAACTTGAGTGACTGAACGAATAAATACATTGATGAATGAATAACTGAATGAATGAATGAATGAATGAATGAATGAATGAATGAATGAATGAATGAATGAATGACAATAAAATTACTTAGAGAACTTAAAAATGTGCTGAAAGTCTGGATAGTTTAGTCAGTGAAAGTAAGTCGGTTGGACGAATCCACTTGGCATAAAAGGATGCAGAAGCCCCCCAGTGGTTGAAAGCGGAACACCACCAGCTGTGTGAAAGATCACACTCCCAGAGCTAAAGTTAGAGAAAGTTTGGTGAAAGGCGCCTGAGCCTGAGCCACAGGAGGATGGGTTTGGGCTCACGCTGACCAGGGAGCTGGAGCCGGTCTGTAAGCTGCTCTCCGCTCCAGGATTCTGTTTTTTCCACTTAGTCCTCCTGTTCTGGAACCAGATTTTAACCTGCGTTTCGGTCAGACTCAGGGACAGGGCCAGGTTTAGTCTCTCGCAGACGGACAGGTACCGGGTAGCGCGGAACTTGTTCTCCAGAGCTACAAGCTGCTCATATGTGAAGGCTGTCCTCGCGCGTCGCGGTTTGGCGCACGCGTGGTCTGCGCGCCGCCGCTTGTGGGGCGATGGGTCCTGCGGGGTGTCTGCTGTCTTCCTGTCTGAGTTCTCATGCTCGCTGGAGGAACAGGTTAGAATGGGATCACGAAGGGTCGTTGGATGGCTGGAGTCCTCATCTCCCGTTTCCTCTCCTGTCAAAACAACAAATAAACGCTTTACTGAAGCGATGCCACAGAAGCAAAGACAATGGATGCTGACCTGTTGGATGAATTGATTGAATCTTCTAGATGGCTTATTAAGTTCTATCTATCCATCCATACGCGTTTTCCTTTTGCCTTTAAAAGCATGTATAATCTTATTAAAACAACTTTGTCGGTTTTAGTCATATGGAAATCAAAAAATCATTGATAAAAAAAAATATCATCCAAAAAAGCAGCGAAAATAAACTCTAGTTTCTATTTAGGAGGAATAGATTCTCAAGTACTGAACATCCTGGAAATATAAGTAACATAAATTATTAGCAGCTTTCTTTTATAACTTTGAGGTAAAATAATATTGTGTTAAATATTTTTTTTTTCAATTTTTTTTTTTTTTTGCAAAAAAAAATAAAATAAAATAAAATATGGAAACATTGAGCAGGTAGGTCTCATGTAGTTTTTATTTGATAAATCTTTAGAATAATATCCAATTTAGTTTCCAGTTTTGAAAGCTTTTGTCAATCACATCTGATTTAGTTGAAGTTATTTTCAAACGAAATGGCTTTAACTACTGTATGACTTAACTATTGGGGTTTAGCCTTCTGTTACAAAACACAGTTTCAGAGAACATCCATGATTTCTAGGAAGAAAATAACATGATACAAAAAATATGTTGTATTGTGCATACACTGAGTTTTTTGATTAATTCATGCATTTAGAAAAACATTGTCTTTGTATAGTAAGCAGCTGTGGATAAAGACTGATTAAGTGGTGACCTTGCTGAATCTTAAAAATCTGGCAAGTCAATAACACATTTAAAATTCAAAGTGCTGAATAAACCATGAAACACACAAAAAAACACTTAGCACTTGCCTTGTAGAAGAGAAATAATGTTTAAATACGATGTTATGACTATGATCTCATTCTCACTGGCTTAGGTTACTTTCTAAATTGTATGCATGCCTCAAAATGTTCATCAAACTCCTAAACACTAAACCTCCATGTGCATTCCTTTGTTTATAGTGTTATAGTTATTCAATAAATATTTATTTATTCATTTGTATCTAATTAGTTATCCTTTCTTTATATTTTTTTTAAGTTTTTGTATAGTTAAAATACAGAAGAAAAGCAAATAAATCAGCTTTTGTTTTTGTTTATTTGTTTTTATTTACCAATAAGTATGGATTTAACTTTTACATGTGAATCTATCAATACTACATATTTGGTGTATTTGAATAAGCTTATAGTTTTATTTTATAAAAAACGACTTTTATATTGTTCATTCATTAAATCTTTTCTAAAAAGAGGCCCCGACTTAGGCCCGTGGTGCTGAAGAACAGCTCCTACATGTCAGAAATCTGTCAAACCCCTGCTTTAAACTTGACATTTCCATATTGCAGATATATTTACATTAGTTATCTTTATAATTGACTTAACTATAATAAAAAAATATATAGGCCAACACGTTATCTGAGAGATTATTTATTTAGATCAGAGGTTGTTGGAGCGGAAAGGAGCATTTAGAGGAGAAGGAAGACTTGGTCACTAATCCCTAAATAATTTATAAAGCGCCTGGCGCTTCAAATGTAATGTTGCGGAAAGAAATCCCGTCTAAATCCAGCTTCGCCACCTCAGCCGTGACGTGCTAATGGAGTTTCATATTTGCTGTGTGGATCGATAAATGTCATCTATTTAAAAGGAAGTTTTAATCGAACGATATTTAGGATCAGACATGGATGGGGTGTGAGGTTTGTACCTGCAAGGTGCTGGAGGGAGATATGCAGGAAGCAGTAATGGGATATCGATCAAAGCGCGCAGAAGCATCCTCAATGGGACGATTTAAACAATTATCTGGCTTGCCTGTCCCGGTGCCAATCACAGGCGGGGGCTCTGGGAGCAAGCCTTTGTGGCTTCCCCCAAAGGAAACGCAGCTTTAGAAATTAAGGGAAGGTCATCCAGAGATGACTGCAAATCTGATAGCAAATCTCAGGTTCAATACATTTCATTTTCGAAACTCAGGTGCTTTATTTCATTGATTTCATTTTTATTTATTCTACATTTCTTTGCGTTAGAGCCCACTTTTAAATCTGGATGCCTCTGTGAGTTTGAGTGTTTTAAAATTAAAATATTCGCATCATTAGAAGAATAAAAAGCAGCATTTATGATGTAAAAATATTAGTCAAGTTACAGTTTAAGTTTTCTGTACCTGTGTGCTCATCTCTCGCCGCCTCGCTGTCCCATTCCAAACTTGTTCCCTCTGCATCCGGCGCAGTAAACTTCTCCTCAGCAACTGGAAGTTCGTTTGCTCTTTTGCTGTTAAATTTGTTTGGATCCAATATATCAGCTATAGAAAATGAAATCTTATGGTTAGACATCATTGTCGCTTCCAAAGTATCATCATCAGTTCACAGTTTGAGATGCAATAGCAGAACAAGCGGTTGCTGTGCGCAATGACGCACGTGGTTCTAATCCAGCAAATTCAACTGAATGGAGGTTTGAAGCAGCTCTTCCATCAATGTGCAGACTCCTCTCCCCTCTGCCTCTTTCTTCTGTCTCCTAGCGTGAATAAAATGACCGTTGTCAGTCTTTAAAGCTTCTGAGCCCACCCCCAATTCTCTCACACGTGACACAAACACTATTAGTGTTTCACACGACCACCTAATGGTCTCACGGCGTCCAATGATAATCACCCATATCATTAAACTCAATAATTGACGAGCTGCATGTTAATTGGGCGCAGATGGCATCTGATTCATTAGAAATCGCCCTGTCATTGTGGTTTGTTTTCTGTTTTAAGCGTTACAGGATAAACAGAGATTTATTTCACTGACTAAGGTAAAAATATGCTCTTAAATAATAAACCCAGCTTTGTGTTCATTAAAACAGCAGATATGGGACTTGTTTTTTTTCTAAGACGACCAATTATACTGAATTAATTCAGATAAATCCGAACCAACTTTAAAAGTTTTTATAGTCCTTGTATATTTAAATGGCACACTGGTTATTGTTAAGTATGAATTGCAAAATGAAAGTGAGAAAATGGATTGCCTTATAGTGTTAAACAACATTTATTTTCAATACAAACTCACTGTTCATTTGCAAGGGAAGATGATCAACCATGTCACTTATTAAAATTATGAAACAACTATTAAACACCATGAACATAAGGATAACAATAAATTACCTAAGCTAATGTAACTTATGTTGCTTTAAGAACTCTTCATAGAGCTTTTGTTATTGTTTTTTTGACAATAATGTTTTTTTGATTAGATCAGGACCAGGCACATGGTCGTAGTCCTGTTAAAAACATGAATACAGTCATATTGTACCATGAAAAACATCCCATACCTTTTAAAGTATTTTACATTTCATCATACTTTGACCAGAGACCTAAATGATGAGGACTACCTGTACAAAAAATTTTTGGAAAATTATAGTTATTTTAACAGATGTAAACAAAATAAAATATATATATATAAATAACTTTTGGATTTAGATATTCTGTTAACATGAGCCTAAATGTACTTATTTGCCTATGTTCATGAGGCTGTATGATGAGAAACTAGTATTTTACATCATCCTTACTCATTATCTTACAGATAAAACATTATAAAGGCAACACTACAGAATAAGGTGTAGGTTACGGCTGCCACTAACAATCATTTTGCTAATTGATTAATCTGTTGATTATTATCAGATGTGGGAGATCTGAAGTCATCTCTATGTCTTGTATTTGTCCTACCCAGCCACTGAACCAGGTAAATCCAATCTGCACAGTGAATTAAATTGTGCAGATTGGACTCACCTGGTTCAGTGGCTGGGCAGAACAAATGCAAGACATAGAAATGACTTGGGGGCTCCATATCTCCCATCTCTGTTTATTATTTTTTTATTAATCTATTAATAATCAGATAGTAAGAGGTTCCTTGAAGAAGTTTTTCTATTTTACAGAATTTAGACTAGGTGAAACTAAAACCTTTCCACTTGAGAAGCTCTGGATACAGCATATAGATGGCCAAAAAAGTTTTCCCATTAAAGATTTTTTTAACTTTATTGATGTCTCTAAATATATTTTATTTCCTGCTTTGCCTAAAGATGGTATAATGTAAATTTCAAACTTACATGAATACCTCTTCAAACTGCTCTCATGCATTGGCTGTAGTCTATAGATCTTTGAGATTCATTACAAACTTTAACAGCTGGTCATTAAACATTGCATTTTAATTTTGAATGGTTTGCCAGTACTATTTAAAAATATTTCTTGGTTTTCTATCTATATTTTTAATATCCTATATCCATTTTTAAAAGTCCATGAAGTTACCATGTCTGTTTTACATAACTGGTGTTCACAGACTGCAAAGAGTTGAAGAATCAAACATTACAATATTCTGCACCTCATTATTTTTTAGTGGCTGGACTGATCATAATGAATCTGGCTCTTTAGGTTTTGTTTAAATTCAATGATTTTTAGTAATGTGTAATTTGTTTGTGTGGGTTAGAGATTATAGATCTCAATCGTTCCCCCAGTTACGTGGTGATGACTTTGTCTGCTTCATAGTTTAGCTTATAAAACATAAATCATAAGTACTCCAAGTTTCTATAGATATTTGACAATCAAATTGTTTTTTGTTTTTGTTGTGTCTTAATTGATCATGTAAATTATTTTCATTTGTTACTTGTTAGGCTCTTTACACAAAAAGCAAAGTATTTAAACACCCAACACCACCAAAGAAGATATGCTAAAAAAAAACTCAAACACTAGAGAAAATACAATCACCCAGACATATCTGTTTCTACAGTGTCTTCACAACTAAGAACAAATGCAGCTGATTGCTTTTCTTCCAAGCCTAATGGATTTCAATTCACAATCAATCGACTCCAAAGTTTTTCTGATTAGAGTTCAATATAAAGAGACACAGTGCTGTTTAAAACGGGATAAGCAGCAATGGGTAAAATGGTGAAACCAGCACAGAATCAATATCTTCCAGCAGGTGTCCAATACAGATAAAGCCTGATGCCTAAACAGACAATTTGAAGACTTGGAAGGTAACCCACAGTGGCACAGATAGGATGATCTGAAGCTTTATTAGGTGCTTTAAAAGATTTTCACTAAATTATTACTATTGGGTTGAATTAGTTTTAATTTAGTCTAATTTTATGTTTCATTGTTCAAACTAAAAGTGGCTGCCAAAAGATTTCCTACTATTTATTATTTGTTTTACTTATGTATGATGCAAGTTGTTGACATAACATCTTAAAATTTGAGTAAGTTTCTTTTTTTTTTTTTGTATCAATCCCTTCAGTTTCCTATGTATAAACTTATTTTGCTAAAATTTCCATTTCAGGTCTAGCATGTCTACTCATTTTCCAAATACATAGAAAAAAACATAGATCCAAAAATTAAAAAATAGATACATTTCCGTCAGGTTAGATAAAACTAATCTGTAAATAGCTTTTTTCTTCTTTTTCTTGTCGTAACTTTTTAAATACTGAAACCTCTAGTAATTTTTTTTTGCTCCCACTTAGCAAACTTTAAAACTTACTTATTTTTGTTTTATTTCCACAAAGTACATTAGTGGAGTGGCTATAGCTGTTAAGTCAAGAGAAATCTTGCTGGAGCTGTTGTTGTCTGCAGGTTCATAGATTAACCACATGCCACATTTACCACAAACTGAGGCAGAAACATGCAGGATCCATGCATGTTTACAGACTATTAAAAATCTTCCCAGTTTCCTGTCTTACTTTGATCACTTTACTACTGATCTACATGCAGCTTTCATTGCCCCCCAGTCATAGCAGAGTCAGTATTTAAAAAGTCAAACATTTGCTGAAACCTCCACTAACTTGCGGGTGTCTGCATGCCAGCATTTGCATATCCATTACACTGGCACGGGCATTATTGTTGGCTCTCCATATGAAAGAAACCCACTGCATGCTGGAGGTTTACAACTTCCTTCGGGAAAGCCCAGTGGCTGGACATCTGTTTGCGTATGTCTGTGGGACAAAAGGACAAAGAGGCCTTCAGGTAGACTTCTGAGAGCAGGAACAGTCGCTGGTACAGCCCTGGGGTCTGCTTGGGCCACAGCGAGACTTCAGAGCAGAGAAATTACTGTCGAACTCAGCAGGGGATCAGAGAGACACACTTCCATCCAACACCCCCCACTGGGGTCAATAAAGTTGCCACTTCCCAGGGATGCTGCTCAACATCAGATGATTTGTCTAATGGCAGGAGCAGGATTATTAGTCGCTGTTGTGCTCACAGACTTTTGTCCTCTTTGTTTTCTTGAAACTCCTGCTGAGAGTCCTCGTCCTTTCTGTAAAATGTGAAACTAAAAAGAAGGTATCAGGAATTTGGTTAATTCTTAGGGAAGGATGTTTCAGAAATAGCAATTAATTCTCCTTATTCTTTGAAGAGTTAGGTATTTCCTTTTTTATTTAATTGAACCTGATAAAGGAAAGACCATTCTGATAAATCCTGATGATTTTGGTGACTTTTTCTCTGTGTTTTCACTTCTAATTTCCCCAATACTCTGGAATACAACCAAACATCTGGACCACTAATGACATCCCCATCAGCATCATCTACACCTTATGTTTAGTGCTAAACAGGAAATGTTACTGACGCACTGAAAGGGAAAAACATGCCAAGCCCAAACAGAACAGAGATATAAGCTCTACAGTTATCACTCCTGTCCTGAATGTATCCTTCCCCAAAAAGTTGACCACTGTCCTGTCAGTTGTCATCAGTCATTAGAAGTGCACAGCAGTAAGTGATTTGTTGGAAACTGCTTCCAAATCATTCTATCTGAAGTTTGCAGTGGTGTCAAAAGTACACACATTTGTTACTTAAGTAGAAGTATAGATACTGCAGTTTAAAAAC